GTCAATTCTAGAGAGTTTGGAAGTTGCTTACAATGAACTTCTGTTAACTTTGGTAACATTATATCCTTCTGCAGTCTTTGATGGAGTTGAAGGACAGATAGTTATAATTATAGTTTTTCTTAGTTATGATAAAAGATAAGGTAGATATAAATATTCTAACTATAATTCTTGCTTGATACCTGTTTTGTTGTATGTAATTTTATTATATTCAAGTTAAAAATTTCCTTTTCATTTAGACAGAGAAGGGGAGATGAAATGGGATTCACTTCTGTATATGTGTTGCTTTTATTTGTTAATGAATAAAGAAGCTGCTTTGGCCTATGACAGGGCAGAACAGAGATATGCAAGGAAAACTAAATGAATGCTGAAAGAAAAAAGGTGGAGTCACAGAGACACCATGTAGCCACCACCAGAGGAGACAGATGATGGAACCTTGCTGGTAGGCTACAACCTCTTGGTGATGCATAGATTAATAGAGATGGATTGATTTAAGATGTAAGAGCCAGCTAGACATATGTACAAGCTAATAGGCCAAGCAGTGATTTAATTAATACAATTTCTGCATAATTATTTTTGGTCTGAGTGGCCTGAAATGAAGGAGCAATCTCTGCCAATACTCAACAGCTTTACTAATCCTACCCAGAAGAAACCTGAGGACACATGACTGGAGAATCCATTGTTTTTAAAATAGCAAAAAGGGAAGGACCTGATAAGCAGCAATAGAAAATAAACGCTTACTCTTTTAACAAAAGGTGGTATCATGAAAAGGTGAGTGGAATTCACTGCAGCAACGTGAAATTCAACAGCAGTGTAGAGATGAAGATGAAATTCAGCAGAACCAAAAGTTCCCAGAGAATAGTGAACTCTTCTCAGAGAAGAATATACAAGACCTGCAGGACTTTAGAAGCTCAACTGCAAACCACAGCACAGCATTAAGGGTGACAGTGAGAAAGAATGTCAGTCAGTGTGTTTGGATTCTGAATATATAACACACATGAACATCATGGAAGAGTTGTGTATGATTTAGGACATAATAATCACGAAGCCCTTTATCTCAAGTCCTCTTTGGTAAACTTGAGCTACTTAGAGTGGGAACATGTTCTTTCAGTATCACACCTGACTGATCAGGGAGGAGATTTTTGAGATCTGGGTTCTGTCATTACACCACAGAAGAAGAAAACTGTGGTGCTTGAAATCAATTCACTTTCCTTCCATAGCAGACTTCTCTGTAGATGATTCTGGTTCACAGAATTTTCTTGTATTACGAATTCTTCCACAAATAGGGATGATCCTCTCAAAAGTTTCTGCTGTGTTCCTAACTACATCGTCAGTATGATAAGCTTTCTTTTGCTATATAACAATGGGCAGAGAATGTTTTCCAGATCTGGGCTCCATGCACAGAAACAACTTTATTTCTCATCCACAAGGATCATTCCTAACTCTCCCAATGCTGACATGAGGTGCCAGCTATCCCATATCATATGCAGGCTCTATATTTAACTCTCACACTATCAGTGATACCTCCAAGTTCTTTCCTGTACTGTTTTTTTCTTTTGAATTTTTATGTATTACCTCTAGACCATCTGCTGCTTCTTTTTTCTCTTTCTTCCTCTTTTTTAAATGTATATGAGTGACTTTGCCTCAACATAAGTCTAAGCACTGCTTACATGCAGTGCCTACAGTGGTCATAAAAAGGCAACAGATCCTCTGGAACCTGAGTTACACGAGACTGTGAGGTGAACTGAACCTGGAAACTGTAAGAACAACAACTGGTCTAAACTGCTGAACCACCTCTCCAGTCCCTTGTGTACTGTCCCTTAAGTAGCTACTGTAGAGACTTAAATCAAGGAACAATGAAACAGGATTCACGGAGCACTGAGGATTTTTTTTTCTTACAGTGTCAGGGTGCTGCGGAAGCTATTTCTGCTCCTTCAACCAATAGCTTTTGAGGTACCAGCCCACTGGGGTGTGGTGTCTTTTGCTTTAAAAATAAGCAGCGGCAGCCCTCGCTCTCTCTTGCTTACTTCGGATTCCGCTTCTGACTATCAGATGCTTTTCCTGTTCCTGCAGGAGGCTGTTGTCTAGGACGGTGATCTGTAAGTTTTTCCTTTTAAATAAATAACCCTTTTATTAATCTTAATTCTGAGTTTGTGTGGGATTGTCTTGTTTTGTGACTTACTCCATCATCAGGGTAAGTACAATGCCATCAAAGACAGTCACACAGGTAAGTGGCAAAGACATGCTCAGAAGTTATGACAGCAAGAGGTGCTGACTGTGAAAAACACTTGGGCATAATTATGTGCCTGAGGACTTAGAAGCAGAAGAACAAACCAGTCTGAACTACTACATGAAAGATAGTAGAAAGACTGAAATGAAATTAATAAAATAGAGAGGCAAAGACAATACAATGAGTCAACGACATAGACTTGTTTCTGTGAAGAGAGGAAAGTACTGACAAAAGATATTACTCCTAATTTGAAAGAAAAGAGTGAATGCCTAAGTATTAGGACAAGAGCTAAAAAGAGGACATTGCAGTGTATGTCAGTGTTACCGTATGGAGTGTTGAGGAAAGTCATGTGCAAATAAATCAGAATTAAAGGAGAAAAGGATGAGTTCCTAGAAACAAGTGAATAGACCAACTTTCTGTGTCTTATAATAGTAGGCATTATGCAAGTGCTAAAACTGAAGCAGGAAGCATTTCTTCTTAAAGTTTCTGAGGACTGGATAGATTTAGCATGAACTCTCCTTTCCTTTAGACAAATCTTACACTAACGGCAAAAGGAGAATATTGCAGAAAACACAAAAAAAGGAAATCTAAGAGTCACCCAACAAAGCTAGCTTTATATGGACACCCGAAAGAGATGAAAAAAAAACCCCAAATATATGCAAAGAACAAAATTACAGATCACTTGTCAGGATGGATATAGATACAGAGACTAAATTACATGGAAAGAGACTAAAAGCTCAGGGAAATGAACTCAGTGAAATGAAACATGATCATGTCAATAGACTCAAGAAAGACTCATGAACAAATAACATATTTGCTCAGTAAAAAAGCTCTGAAGAATGTAAGCATGGAAGGAACATATCATACTAAAGATAATGAGACAAACCTAAACCTAACACTACAATAGATGGACTACTGCAATCAGGACAAAGGAGGGTGTACACTCCTTCTACACTAATTCATGTATTAGTGGGTAGACAGTTCAAGAAGAACAGAAAAATTTAAAGAAGAAAGTATAAGAGACTCAGAAACCCAGCGGACCTCTTACAGAGGAAATAGAACTCTGTAATTCAATATTCATGTGAAAGCTCAGATCTAATAGTCCTGATAACCCTCTTAATAAGCTATATAACCCACACACGGCATCACTTGGTTTTGAGGTTTTTGTTTGTTTGTTTTTTGTACATACCAATGAGAGGATGCTGAGAAGTCAGCAGACCACTCACAGTGTTTAGAAATATCCTGGACTCCTTGGTGGTACCATTCATAGTGTCAAAACTACTATGCAGGCTAGGACAAGGGTCAGAGTTGTCAACAGTTATATCTAGATATGGGTCTTGGGTGCAAAAGTCCCAATATGTCAGACAAGGCATGCCCACTGATGTCATAGGGTAAGATTACTTTGTGAATAAGAGAAGGAAGGTTTTCTGGCTTGATCTGAGGATGGTAACACAGAAGGAAATATATGTATGGAGGATGGGAAGGGGCATATATAAAACTTTTGCCATATGACATGCCAGTTGGAATTATGAGCACACTATGATCTGGCAACCTAGCCTAAACCTGCCTAAAATCATACATGAAGTATGTGGGTGGTTAGTGTAAAGAAAACATGGCTAGTCAGGGTTGAGAGAGAAGGGTAAAAAGATGGTAATGGTGAGTGATTAAACCTATGCAATGGTTAAATATCAGTATTTATTAACTATAAAAAAATAAACAAAATTTAAACTAATAGAATTTAAGGAAGTTACCAATGCCTGGTTAGAGGCAGATCCTTTTTATCATCTATATAACCAACTAATTAGAAAAGTCTGAAACTTTGTTACTGTTCTATTTATTTAATTATAAGCAGATAGTAAACAAAAACATGTTGTTTTTTTTTTATGAAGAAAACAAAGAAAAAACTAACCAAGCAGAAGAGACCTCTAAAATGAAAACTTGAATTCACTGAAGGAATTGAGAATGACAAAAGGTGAGAAAATCTTGCATGCACCTGGAATATGATATATTATTATAAAATTATCAGTGTTAAAAGATTTATATGATTAACTCAAAATCCAGAACAATCAAGCTCCCCACGATTACTTCAGAGAAACAATAAAGAGAATCCTACAAATCTACATGGAAACACAAAGACCCTAAGAGCAACCCCAGGCACACAGAGCAGAGTTTCAATCATCCCAGCTGTGCCTTCTGATGACACTGCAGAGAGACACAGAACAACAGCACCTTGGGAATGACAGAAAAGTAAACACACAACACAATAAGAGAAGCAAATATAGAACCAGGACACAGTCAAATTTCAACAAAAAGGCGAAAACGTAAACTATAGAATAGACAGCCTCATCAACCAATGGTATTGGGAAAAGTAAATAGCCAAATATAAAGGAATAAAACTGAAGGAATTAGAAAATGCTTCAAAAAATGAGAACAGGAAAAACCAAGAGGCATCAATGGTTCTAACTAAATATTATATTCAAATTATAGTAATGAAAACATTTACAATTGGTATGAAGGCATGATCAGCAATCTGAATGAAAGAGGGACAGCATCACTCATATGCAAAATCAAATAAAATTTTATTTGCTATTGAATCTTTTTCAAAGAGTCCTCTAATACCTACAATAGGATAATCCTGAGGTTATCCTCAGGGAATTATCTATAATCAGTTTGAATGAAATAGAATGTGGCAAAATCAATTTCAAGTTCTTTTTTTACTGTCACTCGAGTCCCTCCCCATTCCTTCACCTCCTCCTCAGTGACTCCTGCATACCTGGATCCTTTGCCACTGTCTCCTCTCTCTACACCATCCCAGGGCTTTTGGTTCTAACTGACAGGTGAGCAGGACTGGTTGAGTAGTGGGAGACCTGCATAAGGGAAAGCGATTCTTCAAAAAGCACCTGAAACTTTCCATGGAACAAACATGAAAGATGCTGACACCTGTAAAAGGAGAGAGAATACCAGGTAAAATGTCTTTCTCTGAGGATTTCACTTTACTCTCTGAGATGAGAGACTCATTCACACACAGCTCCCATACATGCAGAGAAGTTTTCCCAGGAACCCGGAGCAGGAGAAAGGAAGGCTGCAAAAAACCTATTTTCACCCACAGAAACCAGACTGTTGTGTTTCTTCAACAGGAGATCTCTGTATAGAGACTTGTGAGCAGGGTCCAGGCATTCCCACTCCTCCTGCAAGAAAGAAGTCCACAGTCACAGCGTGGAATGTCAACAAACCCTGAAATAAAAAACAACTATTTAGTCACATTTGCATGGACAGAGTGCTTTTCTTGAACCATGAAGACATTTTTCTGATCTAAGTGAGTGAGCATAAATACTCAAAAAATGCTTTCTACTTTTGTTTTCATCTATAATGAGTTTTCTAACTAAAAAATAGTATGGACTGATATTCACTCATAGCATCCATATAGGGATTGCTTGGACCTAAGTTATCACATTAGTATCTGAGATATGCAGATACATTTGTAGATGCTGCATGTACATCATAGAGTGCATACTTTTCAGATGTTAAATTAGTAGGGGTTAAAGTTTGCCTCGTAAAAGTTAATGTTCACAATCATTATTGCAGAACTTGATAAAGTATTGTTATGAGTAGCCCACCAGAGATTAGCACTCAAACAGTTTGTAGCCAAGCCAAAATAGACTTGATTTATTCCAGTCATTTGACACCATACCCAAGTGTTCAGGGTCCTAGGCGAGGCTCCAAGTATCCAGAACACAGAATTTTTAAGGACAGAGACCTAGGCGTAGGTGTCTTGCTTGGCAGTTACAGGGGAACTTCTGCAGTACCAGTAGTTTGAAGCAAGCAGTTTTTAACAGGAGCTAAGAGAGGACATTACCCTCCCTCAGGAGGGTTCCTGCACACACAGGCAGCTAGGATGAAAGATCACCTGGAGAAGGTTCTCCACAAACAGTTTTAACAAAGGCTAAATCAGATAGGTTAGATAGGACATCCTGACCTTTAGTTCCTCGTATAGAGTTGGGTAGTTTTCCATGGGATTCTCCATCAAGGAAATCAAATTCTAGTTAACCCTGGAAATAGCTTCAGCAAGAATACAAGATGGAGGAACCTCTGCTCTGTCTTAAACCCGTCACACTGTATTTTCTGATTCAATCAAACCTGCACTGGTTCCTCATGTGACTAAAATCTACAAGGCTATCTGGGTGCCTAGTCCTAGGGAATGCATGCATGAATTTAAATTTCGAGATCTTTGTAACTGCTACAATAATAGCAAAGAGAACCCTGTTTGGTAGGCAGCATATAATGCAAACGCTCTACCAGGTTATTTTATGAAAATATTTTGACAACAATATGATAAATCAAAAAATCAGGATGAGTCCTAGTTCATAGGATCTCAAACTTCCAGACAATGGTAAGATTTCCAGGACAGAACTGTGAGAGTGGCGTCCTTAAGAGCAGCCTCAGAGAGCACAACCCTGCTACGTTCTCGCAGTTCCCAGCCCCGCAGCTCCTCTGACCTGGGAGGTTCCAGCGCCGCCGGACTGCCTTTCCCGCCACTCCGCTGCTGACAGGTGACTTTCCTAGGACACCCCACGTGGCACCTGTGGCTACCGTGAATTTTTAGGCTTGTGTACAGAAGCCAGTGTCCTCCGCCCCGGAATCGGGAGCATGGAACCCCCAGGTCCCACAGTGAATGGTGGATTTTCCTGTCACTCTGGCATGGCTCCTTGGAGTGCTTTCCTGGCTCCGCCCACTACACACCGGTTCCGGTTACGTGGTTCCTCTACGTCCGCGTACGCAGACACTTTCTCTTTCTTAATTAGTTTTCTAAATCCATCCAAGTTTTTTCCTTTTATCATCTCTCGTCTGATCAAGCGAACGTCCCCGCCCGCGAAGACCCTCCCCACTCACTCCGTCTCAGGCTGTCTTCCACCCAGCTCAGGCTGTCAGGCTGCCCTGGACCCGCTCTGCACAGTCTCCCTACATGCTTGCTGCCAGCCTAGAGCAGATCTAGGAGTACGCTGCGCTCAAGCTGTCTGACTCTGTGATCTGACCCCTTCAGATACAAGTAACCAGCCTAGGTTCTCATCTTGGGTTAAGAAGGCACAGCACCCTAAATTCTTATGATCAAGTCCCATTCCAGAACAAATTAAAGACAAAATGTCTTTTGACTCAAACCATATCTCTGTACCCTTAAGGAAAGCACTTTGAATGATATCCAAGCTACAGAACTCAAAAATTCAGAATCATGTTTAAGGAGGTCAAAGTATATAAAGCACGTAAATGAGCTCAAAGAGGTTAAGTATAAAATTATTTACGGGCAAGAAAACGAAGCAAATGCCTGAAGGAAATGAAGACAATGCAGGATTTGAAAGCCAAATTCGATAAATAGTTAGAAACATCGAAAAACCCAAATTGAAATGAAACAGGAAATACAAAATGCAATAAGCCTAATAATAAAATAAATCACGTAGGAGAGAGAATATCATAATTTGAAGACAAAGTAGAGGAGCTGGATTTTTCAATCAAAGAAAATGAAGAATTAAAATAAAATGCTCCATGCAAGTAGCTCTGTTAAAGGTAAAAGTGAAATCCGGCAGTACAGGAACTCACAATGGAGATCTTAACTGGGAAACGGGATAATCATTTTTGCCGTTATTAAATGAAGTGACCCTAAAAAGCCATCTTTATTTTTCCCTCATAGACCTCCGCAATTACAAGACAAGTATCTCTAGTTACATTATTAGCAATATTGACTTGGGGGAAGACATTTCAGGAACTTAGGATTTTGAAAGGAAATAGGTGTCTTAGGAGGCAGTGGTCAGTCAGTCCATTAACAGCCCAGTGCTGAATTCAACATGTGCTTTAACTGCTACATGGTGGCATTGCCATTTTGCTGGCTCTCAAGAATCTTTGTTTTCCAAAATCCAATTAAAAGGTGTTTTTAGATAAAACATAGAAAATTTAGTTTTTAAAATATGCAGTGGTAAATGCAGAAACTCATTGTTGTTCCTGATGAAGAAAATAAGCAATGTATATTGTAACAGTCTTAAAAAATAAGCTGTACCATGCCATCTACGGCTATGGGAATATTGAGGAAAAGGATGTGGGGAGGCAATAAGAATGGAAAAACGTACATGGCCGTGACATGCCGTTCTCCAGACTCCACACAACTATAGTAATCAGTAACCCAAAGCAACTGTATTCACCTGCACTAGCCTCACTCAAGACCAGCCCTAGCCACAATCAGTCTAGGAAGGGGAGAGGCTCACAGGGCCTGACCCTTTACCTTTCAACTGTGGCTATGGATGGATTTTAGGAGAAGGGAATTCACTGTCTTTGTTGTATCTTTTCTGCTGAACCTATAGGGTGCCTGGGCTTACGTAGCTGGAAAAACCAAGGTTGAAAAGAAGAAGAAAAAGGAAAAGGTCCTTGCTACTGTCACAAAACGAGTTGATAGTTGTAAGAATGGTGGTACCCGGTGGTTAAGCTTCAAAAAATTCCCAGGTATTATATTACTGAAGATGTGCCTCGGAAGCTGCTGAGCCATGGCAAAAAGCCCTTCAGTCAGCACGTGAGATGCCTGCGTGCCAGATCACTCCTGGGATTGTCCTCATCATCCTCACCAGGCGCCACAGGAACAAGGGAGGGGTTTTCCTAAAGCAACTGGGTAGTGGTAAACCATTGTGACAGTAAACTGCTTGTGACAGGACCTCTTGCCCTCAACAAACTTCATCTGAGAAGAACACATCAGAAGTTTATCATCGCCACCTCTACAAAAGTTGATATCAGCACTGTTAAAATCCTCAACCACCTGACTGATGCTTACTTCAAGAAAAAGCAGATGGGTAGTCCAGGCACCAGGAGGGCGAGATCTTTGACACAGAGGAGAAATATGAGATTACAGAGCAGCGCAAGGCTGATCATAAAACCGTGAACTCACAGATTCTGCTAAAGATCAAAGCTGTTCTTCAACTGCAGGGCTACCTGTGCTCTCAGTTCTCTCTGACGAATGGGATATATCCTCACAAACTGGTTTCCTAACTTGCTAACAACCTAATTAAACAGCTTCATGTGTCAAAAAAGGGAGGAATAGTAATAGTGGGTAATAGAGTGAATACTTGTGAGGTATTATTTATGGCTATTTACATTGGTATAGTTTTTGTATATTGATACAAGTTCAAATTATATTTTTTACTTTTGTTTATATTATTTGCACATATATACAAAGTTATTTTGTTATATTGTATATATGCATACTTCTACCTCAGTTTAGGACATTTTATATATTGATATAGCTTTTAGGGTATATTTTCATATTATAATAGGTCAATAGTTGTTCATGTTTTTTGTACATACAGTTAGATCAATGAGGTTCTTTAGATAAATAGAGACTGTATTCTGTCTAGATAGGTATTCTACGATCACTTCAAGGATCTGTGGAACATGACATTTAAATAACTTAAGGTTCTGTTGACATGGGACATTATTGCTTCTGACAGCACCAATCTATTCCCTAGAGAATGTTGAGCACCAAAGACACTCCACTTGGAGCTTGTTTTCTTCTTGACAAAACTGGCCTTTGGGCAAGGAACTGACAATGCCTCAACCACAGACAAGTTAAATAGTATCTGGAGATGGATAAGCAGGACTGTCAAATATTGCCAAGGCAGGGTTTTGAAAAATTTCCTGCCTCTGAAAATGGTCTGTTAGTTACACCAGGCCTTAGCCAAAGTTGGTTGCTTCAACATTGCAAAATGAGAGTTTTCTTAGATAGCAAATTGTCTCCATTATATATTGCTCGCTTTGGTAGCTACTTGATTGTACTTCTTGCCTGCTCAAGTAATATTATCTCTCTTCTCAGGTCTTTGATGGGGTTGAAGATTGGATAGTCATAGCTACTGTACTCCTATGATCTAGCCAAGCCATTTATTATATAAGACTTGGACTCAATAGGATAGAATGTTTATTAAAACATTTAGCATATGTTCCTTGCTTAATATTGTTTACACTGGATATAATTCTAATTATACTTGATATCTGTACCGAGTGTACATAGTTTTATTGGGTTTGAAACTCTCCTATTTAAAGAAAAAGGGGAGGTGCTGTGGGAACACATTCTGTTCTGTCAGTCAATAGCCTTTAAGATACTAGACCACTGGGTTGTGGTCCTTTATACTTTAAAAAGCAGTGGGAATTGTGTGCTTTCTCTTTCTTGCTTCCAGCTCCTGTTCCAGCTGGCAGACTCTCTGTTTCCTGTTTGTGATGAGAGGACTGTTGTTTGGTATGGTGATCTGTAAGTTTTTCCCCTCAAATAAATTACCCTTTTTGTTATCCACAATTCTTAGCTGGTGTGGAATTGTTTTGTGCTTCCATAACACACAGCTCAAAACCCACATTCTCACAGATGACCCTAGTTAATCTTGGTGGACCAAAAAAAAAAAAATTGAATAGAAATGAACATGAGAGAGACAGAGAGAGGTAGGGAAGGACACATAGAAACAGGTGGGGAAAGATAGATAGAGAGAAAGAGAGAGAGAGAGAGAGAGAGAGAGAGAGAGAGAGAGAGAGAGAATCATTAGAAAATTAATAGGGGAGTTCAGCTAATCACTTTCTGTTTGTGGGGCGTGTTGACCTTAGGCTAAAGCTTGCCTATAAACCTGCAAGCGAGCTCCCGCTAGCTCTTGCCTGGCTCCTGCATTGGGATGGATCATTTGGATTCTGGTGTAAGCTGGTGTTAAGTCTTACTCCTGTTTATTAAAGCTGTATATTTTGTATTAAGATAGTCTGGGGACTTTTCATTACCAATCTCCCTGCGGTTTCATCTGGCGCCCGAACATGGGCCTTTTCCCCACCCCTCGTGGTGCAGGCCTAGCAGCCTGAGCGTGCACATCACCTGGGGTCTGTCGGCGGCCCCACGGCCTTTACCCTGACTAGCCAGTTCCTAGCTTAAGTGCTCTGCCCTATGTATATAACGCATATCCGGTCCCATACGGGTCTGCCAGGTCCTCTAGCACAAGGTAATGCAGATATTGATCAATTATTGATTGGTAGTGTGCTGCAGGCATCTGAATTTCATAAAAAACATCATGTCAATTGCAAAGACTTGAAAAAAGAGTTTTCTATTACATGGCAACAAGCTAAGGAGATTGTAGAGAAATGCCCTACTTGCTCTTCTTATAACCAAACACCATTGCCTGCAGGGACTAATCCAAAGGGTATTAAAAGGAATGAAATTTGGCAGATGGATGTGTTTCACTTTCCAGAATTTGGCAAATTAAAATATGTACATCACACCATTGACATGTACTCTGGTTTCCAATGGGCAACTGCTTTAAGCTCAGAAAAAGCTGATTCAGTAATCACTCATTTATTAGAAGTTATGGCCATCATGGGTATACCTACACAGATAAAGACGGATAATGGTTCGCTTATGTTTCTAGGATAATGAAACGATTTTTTGCTTATTATGATATTAAGCATGTTACAGGTATACCATACAATGCTACAGGTCAAGCAGTTATAGAAAGATCAAATCGAACTATAAAAGATATGTTGAACAAACAGAAAGGGGTGGAAAATACCCCCAGGAATAGGTTACATAGTGCTTTATTAACCTTGAATTTTCTCAATGCTAATGAGAAGGGGACAACGGCTGCAGAATGATATTGGATATTGGAAAAGTCTGCTGAATTAAATCAACCAATTTATTTCAAGGATGTGCTGACCTTACAGTGGAAA